CCGGTGGCACTGAACGCAGGGGGCTGGCCTGATCTACCCAGTGAGATCAAAGCCCTTCGCCTTCCATGATAAAAGCAGATGGTTGTGACCAGCCTGCCATCTGATAGCCCCCGGAACCCCAGGAAATGTCGGCCTCTCAGGGATTTGAGGTTGGTCTCCCTGCTGAGCAGGCAGTGGTTTGCCAGAAAGGGCCCAGAGGGTGTGCGCCCACATCTGAGTCTACCTCTCACCTCAGCCACGAGCTGTGGAGAGTGCTGGTGGCTGGGAAGGGCCGCAGCTCCGGGGTCTCTCTGCTAGCCCCACCCTGCAGGGGACATTTCTCCAGGGTGGAAACACCCTCCCTCTCCATCTCCATCGCTCTGGCCCTACCTCCTGTCTCCTATGTGGTCTGAAGATCTCTCTACCCAGAGCTGCGTGCTGAGCTCTCCAGCATCTTGTGAGGAGTGTTGTAAACACTTTCCCTTGAGATCAGAGCAGTCCATCCTGCAGGGAAGGGCGGCACTCAGGAGCTGTGAACTGGGGAAGCCAACTGAGGTGGGGTCGTGTCCAGACCCCAAAAGTCTTGTCTGGAGACCGGCAGGATTAGGACCTCTCTCTCCTGTTCCAGGCCTGCTCTACTTAGCAGTACCAGCTTGGTCCGCTCGAGCTGGGTTAAATGAGGACGATGAGGACGCTGCCCCGTAGGCTCACGTTTGAAGGCACAGTCTCCAGTTGGTGGAACTGTCTGAGAAGGACTAAGAAGTGTGGCAGGAGGCGAATCACTGGAGGCAGGCTCTGAGGTTTCAAAAGCCCGCCTCACTCCCGTTGGCCCTCTCTCTCTGCCTCCTGCCTTTGGGTCAGCCAGTGCTCTAGCTACTGCCTGCCTGCTATTGCCATGCTTCCTGCCATGATGGCTCAGACTCTAAGCTGCTGGAACCTCCCCCCAACCCCTGCCCCATGAAATGCTTTCTTCTGGGAGTTGCCTTGGTCGTGGCGTTTGTCACAGCAATGGAAAAGTCACTAAGCCATCACTCCACCATAGAACTGTGAGTGGACTGTGCTTTGAGCTAACTAGAGTCATGCACTCCAGCAGGCTGTGTGCCAAACGTGCCGGGGTGGCAAAGCAGACTGGACGGTGCCCATGTCTTCTCTTTCCCTTGGGCCAAGAGAACTGACAGGTGTGTGGTCTGCACACTTGTTACTGTTGCAGAGGACAGGGCCCTGTTGCCAGCGCACAGCACAGTTCAGGCCATCTGGAGCACAGGGCTAGGTGATAAGATTCTTTTCTGCTCTCCATGGGCATCGGCTGCATGTGGTGTTCCTGGGCACTAGCTTGGAAAACACTGATACACATCAAATAAAAATTAAATAATAGCCCGGTGTGGTGGCGCATTTCTTTAATCCCAGCCCTGGGGAGGCAGGAGCAGGCAGATCTCTGTGTGTTCAGGGCTATCCTGGTCCACACACAGAGACCTTGTTTCAAAACACTAAAAAAATTAAAAATAATTAGTAAAAATTAATTAATTTTTTTTTCTTAAAACCATGCCCATATCTCTCCATGATTCAGAGTCCTAAACGGTGCGTCTCCCTTTGCGCAGATGTCCAGATGCTGTGCGTTACTACAGCAGGGACATCGATGGGAGGAGTCCTGAACATCTGTGGCGTTTAGTCCCAGCTCTCCGGAAGGCCAGTGCGTGCGTGTGTGTGGAGGGGGGGTGTGCACGTGTCAAGGTCAGAGTGTGGCTTGAGGGAGGACCTTGGGCCTGTCTTACCACCGTGTGAGTCGGGCTTGGCAGCAGTCTCCCCTGCAGATGGACCAGCTCTCTGGCCCCGGAAGGTGTTTTCTGCCGTGGAGTGAGGCGGCCTGTCACACCTGCGTCACGGCAAGGCATGTGCCTGATGTGTGTGCGATTTGAATGTCTGTCAGAGAGGCACCTGAGGTTTGTCGTGGCACTCCCTGCCTGGACCCCTGATCTCCCAGTCACCTCACCTTCCCGTGAACAGGCTACCCCTCCCTGGACCTGGCACTCGGAGGCCTCTGAGCACTGGTCCATGTCCTGGACTCAGCTAAGACAGCAGGCTAGGGCCTCAGGTGGTACGGGGCTGGGTAGGGGAGGGAGTGTGCCGATCTTAAGGCCTGAGCTCCCAGGCACTAGAGGCAACAGCTTCCCGGCCCCTGTAGCTGGTCCACACAGGGGCCATGAGCAGGACACAGGAGGATCCTGACAGCCTGGTCTGTGAGGTAGGAGCTGTGTCAGTCCTGAGGGGCAGCCTCTAAGTAACACCTGCTCCCTCTGCTGTCACTCACAAGCTGCCTGTGTGAGTGTGTGTGTGAGTGTGTGAGTGAGTGTGTGTGTGTGTGTGTGTGTGTGAGTGTGTGAGTGTGTGTGTGTGAGTGTGTGTGTGTGTGAGTGTGTGTGTGTGTGAGTGTGTGTGTGTGTGTGTGTGTGTGTGTGTGTGTGTGGCTTCGCACAAGCCTTGGGCAGGAAGTCAGGCACCAGCAGAACGTCTTTGCTCTTTATGCTTTACTTATTATTTTCTTATTTTACTTATTATTTTCTGGAGTGTTTTGTGCACATGTACATCTGTGCACTGGAGTCACAGACAGTTGTGAGCTGCCATGTGGGTGCTGGGACTCAAACCCAGGTCGTCTGGAAGGACAGCCAGTGCCCTTAACTACTGGGTGAGGGGTCCCTACCAGTATCCTGGGCGGTTGACTTTGTCAGCCTGGGTCAGACTTTGGGGAGCCTCACACCAGGCTCTCCATCGCAAGCATCTTTAAACCACGGTACGATTTGGGAAACGGTTTTGAGGTAACACTTAGTTCAGTTCCGGGCAGACTACACAGGGACTCTTTCCCAAGGCGCAGGTGACCGTGAGGGTGGGTTCCAAAGCTAGAAGGCCTGAGTCTGATGCGGTCTCTGACCCATAGCATAGAGCTCAGCCAGCTATAAAGCACACGGCAGCTCCCCTGAGGATGGATAACGGTTTCTCAGGGAAGAGTCTGGGGCCTTTGGGTGAGTTCTGCCTCTGCAGACAGTACAAAGGTCACCAGGGCAAAATCCACTTCCAGCTTCCTGGGCAGAAAAACAGCTATTTCATCTCCTCGTGGAGAAAGGCTTCTGTATGTTTAGCATTCCGGTTTCCCTAGTGATCTGTGGGCTCAAGGGCCCTTGTGCCCCCACACTGACACACCTCTGCAGCCTCTTCACCTTTTCTTTGTAAGGCTCGCTTTTATTCGTGTGTGTGCACATGTGTGCGGGTTTCCACAGGAGCCAGAAAAGGGAGTGAAACCCCTTGGAGCTGGAGATAGAGGCATTCTGGGAAGTGCCCTATGTGGGATCTGAACTCCGGTCCCCTGATAGAGCAGTAAATGCTCTTAACTGCTGAGCCACCTCTCCAGTCCCTCTTTGTTGGTTTGAATGAGAGTGGCTCCCATAGGGTTGCAGGTTTGAAAGCGGTCCCCAGTTATGGGACTGTTTGGGAAGGGTTAGGAGGTGTGGCCTTGTTGGAGGAGGTGTGTCCTTGAGGTGGCTTTTAAGGTTTCAGAAGCCCATGACAGGCCCAGCGTCTCTCTCTCTCTGCCTGCTGCTTGTGGGTTAAGGATGCAAAGTTCTCAGATACTGTTCCAGTGCTGTGCCAACTGCTTTCCACCATGATGGTCATGGACC